AATACAACTAAAGTTGACATTTTTGCTGTGTTTGTACGGAAGTTGAATTTCTCTCGAATAATCTTTTTCAAAATATCATCAAGAATTTATTCCTATGAGTTTTTATTTTTAGATCTTAAAAAAAAGAAAAATTAAATTAAAATGATAAATGAATAGAATGTTTAGCATAATATAATAATAATGAGACAAGTCCGAAGTGGTATATAAACAATATGATTGCATAACGACAAAATTAAAACGAGTTCTCTAAGGCAAACTAACAATCCACAATATTGTGCTTGATTTTAATAAGAATGAGTAGGCGTATTTTACTTATGGTATCAAATAAATTAAAAAAAGTCAAGTTCTTTTCCTGTTTAAGTAGTTATTTTACGACACAATTTAAATCAAAGACTATTTGAAAATGATTTATTCATACTGGCAAGTGAGCATTAAATTTCCAAAAATTCATATCAAAGTTGTAAACTGCTTTCAAATATAGCGATTCTCGGTAAGTGGTCTGCGAACACTAAATGTAGGGTCAAACATTTTTTGATATAATGATAATAGTAATGTTACAGTATATTTAGTGTTATTGTTGATGAACTATGGAATTGCGTCTCTTTACTGCTTCTGTTTAGTATCCAATGGTTCAGGAATTCTTTATTAGGATTTATATAGAGCAACCGGACAATTGTTTAAGCGTCCCGACGATAAACCTGTTGCAATATCTTCTACAAAAACCTGTAGTTGGTTGATTAGTTAGTTACTTGAATAATTGACTAACAACACTGAAATTTGATAAAAAATTAGCCATAGCTAAATTAGACTATCACTGAACATAATTGCAAACTAATCCTAACATCTTATCATTTTTAAAGACCAGGATGACTAGCACCGAGCCAGAACGAATCTTCTTCCAAAAATGTTTGGACACGATGTTAAACAATTTTATAAGGTTTTTTATTTGAAACCCGAATTGAACGTAAAGCAAACTAAATTTCAACTAGAAGCCAATATAACAGTGTAAGTTGCATCAGTAATCTTACTTCATCAGATACACAGACTTATCAATGTAGAACTTCTTAATATAATTATATTCCTAAAGCACCAACTAAAAATCAGGGAACACTAGATATCTGTTTTTTTACTAAATTTTAAACTGTTCACTAATGTACTTCAGGTCAATACATATGGACACGAAAGCAGGAATTTCCGACCATATATTGAATATAAAACCTTCAAGCCACTGAGTTTTGATCGACCGGTTCACATATCTTAATTCAGTTACTTTGTGATCCGACTCGATATTTGTGCAGCAACATTGTAAGTTACAATTTGGACATTAGCTTTCTTGACTACATAGGTAATGGACTACCACTAGGTGTTTGAGATATCCTTCGCGAGGGTAGTGACTTTTATAAACTGAGTATAGTTTGAAAATGAACCAAAACCTATAGGTATTTACCAGGATTGTTTGTATTTATGGAATAGATAAATATTTTCTATAATAATACGATCAAACGTTGGTCAGAACATTTTTCCCGACCTGAGTTCCCATTCACTACAGCATATTATACTTGGGGGATACTTCCTAGACTCATTTACACGATTTAATTGTTTCCAGCTCATTTTGTTCACATACTTCACTTTAGAATCTCAGTTGTAATGTACCGTTCTTGCTTAAGCTTAATTTAGTGGTAACTCGAAATCTCTACCTTTTTCTTCTGTATGCGTATGTCAGAGGCTATCAACTTTGAAACAGTAAATAACTACTTGCATGTATCTAGTTCGCATGAAGAAGTGGAAGGTGAAACATTGAAGGTGCATAAATTAAATTGGAGTTAACGAACAGGTGTACTGCATCCATAATCCTGTAAAACAATAATGATAAATCGACTGAGTTTACTTTCATCTGAATCATTTCATAATTCCATATTATTCTTAACACTTGATTAATGTAAGACAACTCTTTTTTTCAATAAAATAAAAGCTTTCTAACTACAAATATTTAGTAGTGTGTTGTTATGTAATATATAAGCCAAAAAAAGCAAATAAGAGTTTCAAAGGTACCTTGACCCCATTAGACCCCACTAAACTACATTGAAATCACTGAAGAATACTGCTTGTCTCTAGTTATGGACTCCTGCTAGCGAACACCTACGGACTCACACACACAATCACGGTGTGGGTTATAATTTGAAAACCACTGAGTGGAAATTAACAATAACAATCAATTTGTCGTATACTATGGCTATCACTGAGTGAGATTGGTGAGTTACTTTTTTATTTCGATGGTGGTGATTTATTTGAAATGTAAAATGTAAAATCTGAGTCTTGAATTCAGTCTAATTTGGGCTCATCAGTTCCCTTTGAGGAAGAGTACTTATCTAGGAGGTAAGTAATATCAAATTTTCCCTGATTTTCGTAGCTCACCAGTTGATTTCTGTCCACGACGAACATCTTATTTGTATGCTAACTAATCTTTACTAGCTGACCAAATAAATAACGTTTACCTTAAAGTAAAATAATTATACAAAATAAGGATAAGAAACCAAGCCAAGTGAAAGCCGCCATTTCATGTCACTGGTGTTTTTGCAGATTATTTCATAAGTGTAAATAACCTTTATTTGACAGAATAAGTGAACTAACCCTTGAAACAGGTATGAAAATACTAAACAGTATACTGAATATTTTTCTCCTGGTAAGCGTTTATTTAGCGAGTTAGCTTTCTACGGGATGGGGTCAGCGACCCCATGCCCGACCCTCCTCTTTTATCCGGGCTTGGGACCGGCAGTAGCCCCAGAAGGGCTCCAGGTGGAGTTACTAGATAGTATATATATATATATATATATATATATATATACTGTTAAAAGTAATTTCTTCGCTCGATCGGTTCGTTGCTTATTTGCCACATGCCAAGATGGGAATTTTCACGATGTTAAATATTCTTCGGAGTTTCAAATCCTTTTTTCATTTTTCCTTCATATAGTCCAGTGAAACAATATACAGCTATAGAGACAGTGTTATTCACCAACTGTTTAATTTAATTTGTACACATTTTTTACAACAAATCATCTCATTGAAATTATTTTGATAATTGAAATAATTTAAAGTAACTTGATCACATTTCATTCATTACTATGTCCTACCAATCCTACTCAATCAGCCAATTATCATTAAGGAGTATAATTTTTTTTATTTTTGCTACATTTGAATGTTCACTTATTGTAGTTTATCTAGAAGTTGTTTCTGTTTTAAATTTGAAACTCAAAAAGGTAAACTGACCATTGAAGTCCTTGTAACTTATGGAAACAAAGTTGTTATTAAACAGAAATAACAGACAAAAATTAAATAAGTCCCCTTAAACAATGCTACAATTACAAAATATTGTTGAATACACTAAAGAATATGGACAGCTATAAATGGTTATTTTGAAACTGTTACAGCAAGAGTCAGTATTGATCAACCAGTAGCAAAATATTGTTTCTTTTTAGTTAGTCCATTTTATTTGCGTCCACCATTTTTTTTAATAAAATGTATCTTTTAGAAGATGGCTTCATTAATGAAAAACAATAATGTAGAATAATCCAGTTATTGACCACCAATTCATGTAACAAATGACATAAAGTTACTAATCATGCTTAAGTAGTGACTTTTTATTGCCAAAAGATTAAAAAATGACTTATCAATTCCCAGCTGACGTTTGCTCTACTAATTTTTACTGATGGCATACTCCTATAGAGGGATTATCAAATCGAAACATATTTCATATATCCCTGTTTTTCTCAAATAGAGTTTTTAACCCACACTATCTTACTAATTATTGGAAGTATTTTTTAATAAATTCCATGTAATTGACTACCACTATAAACTTCATGTTTTAAAAATGTCTCTTCAGAAATACTTAAATTTAAATGTTTACGGATTTTTAAACTGCTTTTAAATCTTTTATAATTCATCATCGACCTTATAATTCAAAATAGGATATTAACTGGTACAGAGACTCATTCATACCAGTCGAAATTGGTTTCTCTCGGGATTCCTAATGAAAATGTAGTTAGTCCTTTTGATGGTTCCAGATAACTTTTACATTGTTTGCGGATGTACATATTAACAGACCAACAAAATTACTTGACGAGAAAATGTTTGAGTCACGATATCGAAATTTGTTCAAGTGTCTGTATTCCACTGATGATTCACTGATTGCATAACTTACCTGGGAGTTATTACTAGATAAGCCACTAGTAATTGATTTATTCTTACAATAGAATTTTTACCTTCAGATTCATATGTTTTCATTGCTATCCCAATAAAACACAATAGACTTTTTGTCAGTTAAGAGAACGTCCTTCAGTCTTTAATAAATGCATCATTACTAGTCAGATGATTGATTTTTGTCGTCCCTTTTTAGATTAAGTGCCAAAGCCGGAAATTCACTATTTGGAATCCGATTTTTTCTAAATAATTGGATACTGACACATAACAGTCATTATTCTATTAGTACAGCCCATTCGAAACTGTTAATTTTTGTTTTACAGCGGATTTCATATTTTTAAACAAATCATTCCTAGGTTTAAACGTTGTCTACACCAACTTTTTAAAAACGTTAAATTATTCAGTGTAAAGAATTAGTATGTTTATGTCATGTGAAGAGAAGCATATCCAGGAAAAGTAGAACTTAGTGCTTATTTTATATAAAAGGAAATGGTTTCTTATTGAATCAATCTAAATAAATAGATGTAATAAAATTCTGTGAAACGAAATTTTTCAGTTGGGAAATTACTTAACTATTTTCAATGTTTGACTTAACAATAGAATCGTCACAAATAGCGCGCCATGTTCAATTCAACACCTAAATAGACTAACTAAAATCTCCTTGAAAGTTAAAAGGAAAATGATACTATTCTGGTCCATAATTTTGATGAAATTACAAGTAATTGGTTTGTTTAATTCGTAAACAATTGATTTAAAAAGATTTATGAGACCTACTTTAAGACTTTATTATTTTTCATTAACAGATAATTTTCGTAAATAAGATGTTGCATTTTCAAACTGTATTTTGGGTACAACTTTTAATTATCAGCCTATTCTACACTCACAAAGTAATCATATCAATGCCAATAGCTGAAGAATTGAGTATTGAATGTACAATTCAATGTGGAGTCGAAGCTGATAAATGTCAGAAAGCACATGCAACAACACAACCACTAATTGAAGCATGTGTACAAAAAATGTTTGAATGTGTCAAACACTGTACTGGACCACCACCTGTTGAAGATTATTATTATTATTAATCGAACAAACCACCAGTTGATTTGTCGGTAGAATGTGCTCGTTTTATGAAGGTCTCATAATTCAGTAAAACAAAAGTATGGCAAATATATTACAGTAAGAAAATGTTTGTTATCTATTTTAAGTATTAAAAATTATCAATAAACTTCTATGTCAAGTTAATTTTTATTTTCTATCAAAATACACTCGACTGATGTATGCAGCGATAATTTGTGTAGTTTAAAACAGTGTATCCTGATAAATTAGTTCATTAAAGTGAATTTGGTGTTAACAATTCACTTTCACTAGTAACTAACAATGTCTAACATTCAGCTTACTTACTTGCGTAGTTACTTACGGCTGTTAACCTTCGTGGAGCTTAAGCCACCGACCACGACGTCCCAATTAACTCTGTCCGGGGCTGTCCTTTTTTAGTTGTTCTCAAGTTCTATACATTTTTTGATGTCATCCACGAATTCCCGGGACGAAATGTTCTTTGGTCCACTATTTTTCCTTTTATCTTCAGGGTTCTAAGTTGCGGCCTGCTTCGTGATGCAGCTTGATGATTTCCCTAATGTATCTTCTACTCACCTACAACTTCTTTTCTTAGTTTCCTTTGCGGCTGGAAACTGGTTTATTCTCTCCCACAGTACGTTGTTTCTGATGGTATCCGGTCAACGAACATTGAGTATTTTGCATAGATAATTGTTCATAAATACTTTTACATTTTTGATTATGGCTGTGTTACTTCTCCAACTTCCAGTTCCGTACAGTATGACAATCGTATTGAAGATAGTGATTTTGATATTGGTTGACAGTTGTCCTGAATTCCATATAATAATCAACTGTAGGGATGTTGTCCCCGCTCTGTCGATCCTCGCCTTTAAGTTTACATTAGATCCTTCTTGTTCATTAATGATGCCGATCAGGTACGTAAACTTTTTCACCTCTTCCAGAGTTTTTCCATCAAGTGAGACCGGGTCGGTGTTCTCTATTTTGTATTTGAGGATGATGCTTTTTCCCTTTTGTATGTTGGGGACTACTGTTGCAGACAGAGGCTTCTGCCACACTGGCTGTCATCATCTGCATTTGTTCGTGCGTATAGGATAGAACGGCAAGGTCATCTGCAAAGTTTAAATCTTCTAGTTGCATCCAAGCTATCCTCTGGATTGCGTGCTTTCGATAAGATGTAGAGGACTCAATAATCCAGTTAGCCACTAGAAGAAAGAGGAAGGGGGAGAATAGACAGCATTGTCTGACTCCGGTCTTTACTTGGAATGCATCTATCAGCTGTACTCCATGCAAGACTTTGCACTGTAGTCTGTCGTATGAGTTCCGGATAATGTTGACAATCTTCTCAGCAACTCCATGGTGTCGAGGAAGGTTCCATAATGTTCTCCTATCCACACTGTCAAATTCCTTCTCACAGTCAAGGAAGTTGATGTATAGTGACCAGTTCCATTCAGTTGATTGCTCAACGATGATCCATAGTGTCGCAATTTGGTCTGTGCACGACCGATCCTTACGGAATCCAGCTTGCTGATCTCGAAGTTGGGCGTCTACCGCGTCTTTCATCCAGTTCAGCAACACTCTGCTGAAGACTTTTCCTGATACTGACAGTATTGTGATGCCTCTGTAGTTCTCACATTTTCTCAGATCTCTTTACTTTGGAATCTTGATGAGGTGTCTTTCTTTCCATTCAGTCAGCAATTGTTCCTCCTCTCAAATCTTCTTGAATAGAAGGCAATGCATGTTTGTAGTCACTTCAATGTCTGACTTCGTTGCTTCAGCTGGTATATCGTCAGGTCCTGCTGCTTTCCCACTCTTCATTTGTCTGATGGCCATCCTGATTTCTTCGATCGTTGGTGGAGTGACATATATGGGAAGATCTGTGTGTGCTGCTTCGATGTCCGGTGGATTCAACGGAGCTGGTCTATTCAAGAGTTCTTAAAAGTGTTCTACCTATCTGTTCCTCTGTTCTTGAATCGGCGTGATTGTCTTCCCTTCTTTGTCCTTGACCGGTCTCTCTGGTTCACTATATCTAACTGATATTATCTTCGTTGTATCATAAAGCTTTTCCATATTTCCTTCTCTTGCAGCTTTTTCCGCTATCACTGCTAGTTCTCCCACGTATTTCTTCTTGTCGGCTCTAATGCTTTACTTCACTTGCTTGTTTGCTTCTATATATTCAGCTTGTGCTTGAAATTTCTCCGAGTTCCATATGATAATCAACTGTAGGAATGCTGTCCCTGCTTTGCCAATCTGTGGCTTCACATCTGCATCAGATCCCCCTTGTTCATCAATGATCGTCCTCAGGTACGTAAATCTTTCCACCCATTCCAGAGCTCCTCTGTCAAGTGTGATTTTTTGGTGCTGGTTTGAGGTCTACTGCTGCAGAACCTGACGATACCTTGACTGTCTTCACCTGAATTCGTATCTGTGTGTGATATCGGAGGGCTAGGTCATCTGGGATTCCGACTAATCCAACTGCATGCAAGTTGTCCATTGCATTTCGTGCTTCCACTCGGATGTCGAGGTCTTCATGATCTAGTCAACCACCAGAAGAAATGAGAAGGGGGATAGTAAGCAGCCTTGTATAACACCGGTCTTTACTTCGAACGCAACCGTCAGCTGTCCTACATGCACGACATTGCAGTGCAGTCCGTCCTATGAATTTAGTATAATGATGACGATCGTCTCAGGTACACCATAGTTACGAAGAAGCTTTCATAGGATTCTCCTATCCGCGCTGTCAAATGCTTTCGCATATTCGTGGAAGTTGATGAATAATTATGAGCTCTATCCAGTTGATCGTTCAACAGTTATCCGTAATTGCTTCTTTGTCTAACATCAGTGCTTCAGATGGTATGTTGTTTGGTCCTGATGCTATCCCTCTCTTGATTTGTTCATTACAGCTGGTCTTTTCATGATTTCTTCAAAGTGTTCTACCCACCCGTTCCTCTGTACTTGAATCTCAGTGATTGGCTTCAGTGTATTCACTTTGAGCCTTCACTCTCTCTGTTCTTGTTCGGCTGTTGTTGATTGATGTCCTCATGTTCTTCCTTTCTTGAACCTTGTTCAGCATTTCGATGGAGATCTATTGGTTATGATGATGTTTCCTTCAGCCCAGAACCTCCTGACACGTTGAAGTTAGTGCTCCTTCGATCTATTTTCAATTCTCCACCATAGTAGTCTCTTCTTCTTCTTCTTCTTCTTCTTCTACCTCCAGCAGATCTCGTAAGACTTGGAACCTGTTGTTCAGAGTTATCTTGAATTGGTTGAGTTTGTCAGCATGTCGAAGGAAGGCTGTATTGAACCTTTGTAATGCTGTTTCGCCAGTTGTCCAGTGCTTCTTTAACTTCAGTTTCACCTTGTCAACCACAAGCAGGTGGTGATATAAGCCATGTCAGCTCATCTTCTGGTTCTCTTGTCTTCCATTAATCTTCTGAATTTTCTAGTGACACAGATAAGATCCATCTGGTTCTCTGTAGTGTGATGTGATCCGGTGAGTCCCATATGGTTTTCGTGTATGCGTCTGTGGGTGAATAAAGCAATATCAATAACCAATTTATTGAATTCACATGAATTTGCAACTCTCTACATATATATCTCTCTCCATACTCGTACGTTTCTCCCAGTCAGCTCATGTCGTCCAATGTCATCTTCATATCCGGTGTTGTCCATTCCGAATTCGACCTTCAAGTCTGCCATTAGGATGGTTCCTACAGTTCGTACATTGTGCACTTCTCCACGATCGACTAACTGCAGCCTCTCATAAAACTGATCTTTATCGTCTTCATTGCTGTGGTTGGTGGATGCATAGCACTGGATAACATTTAATGTGATCCATCCCTTATTTGTCTTGAGACTTCCATTCTACAAGTGCTCTTTGTGCTTCTGTGTTCAAAATCAGAGCAACTCTCTCAGTGTGTGTTCAGCATTTCCTTCTTCATAACCAGAGCACAAAAGCACCTCTCCTCAATCTATCATTTTCTGTCCAGCTTGAGTTCAATGGGTTTCACTGATTCCGAATACTATCAAGTTGTATAATCTCATTTCCACAGCTATTTGATTGATCTTTCCAGTTTCTCACATTGCGTGAACATTCCATGAATTTATATTAATTGTTGCTCTGATTGTTAGAAGTGGTGTCGGCCTCGTGACTTCGGCAGAACCTTGGCTTTCATCATGAGGCGTCATAATTGTTCTGAAAGAAGACCCTTAAACTTGGATGTCAGAGTTTGAATGGTGTAATTTGTTAATTTTGGTGAGCATTTTCTTAGCAGTGTTGTGTTGTACAGGGATGGGGATGCTGATCCCTATCCCAACCCTTCTCTTTTGTGTGGGCTTGGGACTAACATTAGTTTTATGTGGGCTGTAGGCGGAGTTAACATTGAGCCTAATCTACCGAAACTACATTTAAAACATTCCTAGGAATATTGGTAGATAACGATAAAATATTAGTCAATGACAGTTTTTGTAAAACTAGAGAAATTTTACTCCGATAGTGAGGTTTTTCTGTGTCCTCTTTTCAGGTTACATTTTCCGTAACCATAAATGACCACTCTTAAACCAAATTTTTTCTCAAATTTTAACAGTTTTTATTCACTAGAAATATAAAATCCTGCCATGATCTTTTATACAATGGATTAAATGGAGGTATTTGGTTACTTTAAAATAATTTTAAGTTCAAGTTGTCTTATCGCAATCCGAAGAACGATAAACATTTAAAATTGGACAGCACCAATCATCGTGATTTTTTGTGGTAGCACTATGCTGAAAAACGAGTAAAGTTTAAATAAGATACTTTGAAATATAACTTAGTGGTTCAAATGATCCTGTTTACCACGAGACCTGAATGGCCTGAGTCCAATACGTTATGAAATTAATAATACACACTGGTGATAAGTCTCAGGTGGAGAGGTAAAAAAATTCTGTGTTGTCTCATCATCTTGATGACTTCACTTCAAGATTGAAATTGAGCTTGGTTGAAAAAATCCTTTGCTTAACCTCAAAGATTTGT